TTCAACATTATTTTTGCCACTTTATCGTTCCAATTGATTCTCAAAACAGTTGATCGTCTCATTCAGCGAATTAAATATTCACTTATCAGTTTCCTTTCAAACTCTTAGCCAAGTTCCAATTCAAGAGACCTTTCGTTCAATCAGTGTTGATTTCACTTCTGACAATATACATTTTGTTGATTGCAGATCGCTAATGGAGCAAGGTATCTTCGAAGGTGATGTTGTCCTACTGAGATTTAAATTCATGACGTTGTTCGATATGAATCCTAAGGTTAGTTCTTCTTATTTCTCAGTTATGTTCTTTCTGTGCATTGAGATAATCACACATCCTTGAAGTATTCACAAAACCTACGTAAGATATTAGAATTATAAAAATTGGTTGAAACTCGTTAACATGTACGATTGATTTTACAGTATGACCCGGTACGAATCAATCAGTTATATGAGCAAGCTAAATGGTCGATCCTTCTGGAAGAATTCGATCATACTGAAGAAGAGGCGATGCTGTTTGCAGCTTTACAGGTTACCTACTCATTTGTTAATTGCCTGTAAGTATTGATATTTTTTGATACTCCATGACTAGTTCCATACGAGTGATTCACTGACCAACAATTGTTTCAGCTTCAAGCAACACTACAACGACATTCGCCTGAGCCTGAAGAAACCGAACGAGATGATGTAGACGTCTTACTCGATGAACTCGTATGTGCATTAGCATATCCAAATTATAAAGATACCTCACGATTCGTTTGAATTCATAAATTTGAATGTGTATGCTTAATGCGGGACTAGATTATCGTAAGAGTGCGATCACTTAAATGGGATTGAATAAATTAAATGATGCCGTTTTGATCATCTCAATAAACATTTGATCAGTTTGTTCAGATGTGACGAACGATAGCAATGCATTATTGCTTCTCACAAATTAATTTCATTCTCTGAAATTCCAGGAACAGAATCTTGATGCAGCCGCACTTAGTCGACGATCAGATCTAACTCAAGTCCCAGAATTATGCGACTATTTGAAATATATGAAGTTTGTTTTGTTTCTCATATGGCGTCCGTTTCAATTCTGGCATTCACCTATGACCAATTAGATTGTTTGGTTATCAGACTTTGATTATCTAGACTGATCCAAGCGTTTTAATATTTATCGTTGACTTATCAATTCTGAAATTCGATAACATGTTCTTGAAATGTTTCAATTCGTTGCGATATGTGTCTTGAATTTAACCAATCTAAGTGCTTTAATATAATCGTATTAATATGTTTGTAGACCGAAGAAGTTAGCTGCCTTCAAAGGTTTCAAACGTGGATTCTTCTCTTTCCGTGATCTTTATTTGAGTTGGCACCAATCATCAAGCGATACGAGTGGGCCACCGCTTGGGCATATTTGCCTTAAAGGTTCTGATTTTATGGACTACATTTTCAGTTTGATTATCATCTTTATCTGAAGTTAACATTCATCATATTGTTAGGGTTTTCATTCTTTTCCTTGCTGTTACAATCGCTCTCATAGCTTTT